ACCAGGCCCCCCCCGGGGTTCTGCAGCAGAGAGGCTGCCCCAAGACTTCCCGCGGACGCCAGCTGCCACAAGCCACAGCAGCACTCTGACTAGAACAGGGATGGCTGCCTCCTGCCCGAGCCCCTGTTCTTTCCTCTGGTGCCACGGCAGTTGAAGAGCCTGGTTGTGTGCTGGAGGCGCCCTTGGTGCGTGCCGGGGGGGGGCCATGCGCCCCATGAGGCGCACGCCGTGCCTTTGTTGAGCAGGAGATGGGATGTACCCGGTGCGTCGATGGCGGCAAAGTCACATCGTGGCAGAGGGACCACAATGCTAGGCCGCAGCTGGAGAATGAATCTTTCAGTGCTGCGTCTCCTGGGATTTCTCCGGCTCCCCAGCCATCTGTGGGTCAATGAGAGGCAACCGGTAGCATCTGGCAGACATAGTCACAGGAGGTGAAGTCACTACCAACGTGAGGGTGGATGGGGATCAGGCAAGGCAGTTACATTTGGGGCAGCAGGTCAGAGTGCACAAATCTCACTAATTTGTGTGACGCAAATGAATAAGATTCAAAAGCAGCAGCTGGAGACAATACAGTGGGAGTCATTGTCTAAGTGTAAAGAGGTTTGCTGGAGCTGCGTGCGCCCATGCCTTGGTTACATGTCTTCCATCAGTGATACAACAGCGACACAGTAGTATGCAGTCCACGGGTTTATCCTCATGTCACGACGACCTGCTTCCTTGCGCACCATGGCTCAGAGAGCTGTTCTCCAAATTCCTCAAGCTGTCCACCCGGAGACCTTATGTATTTTATGGTGCTACTCTTCATGCTGTTTATACAGCCTGGAGAGCAGATCTCCCTCTCTGAACAGGGAAGACGCCTTCCTTCTCACTATCTCTTACGGACACACGTGCAGTCTTCCTCTTGTTAAACTTTCATTGTTCTGGCATGGAGAGAGTTGCTTAAAAAAAGTAGTAAATGATTTCATATATATTAATTGGGCAAACAGTATTTTTGAATAAGAAAGTCAGCCTTTAAAGTCAATCTTTTCAGATTTTTAGCTCAGCCTTAAGTATAACCTACACAAAGCAAGAAAAGATTCCTTTTTTACTGCAGTAAACAGTGCCCTTCAGCGGGTAAATTACTGGTTAGAAACTTCCCTGATGAAAACAATCATCTAGCTCCCCTGTATGAGGAGTGTCTAGTTTAAGAATGTGGAAAAGTTCAAATGGAGAAAAAATAGGGTGAGGAATAATAATAATAAAATGCTCAGTTCGGGGCAGTCACAAATAATTATTTTGAATGGGAAAAATGATGTCAGTATAGGCAATGCAACCAAAGGTAGAGAAGCAGTAGTCTCTCTTTTGGTTTATATTCTCCAACGCCACAATATATTTAACTTGATGTTCCTTATTTCCACTCTTAAAATCTTTTTTAGAAACGGTAAATGGGCCTCTGGGTTTTTCAGTTCAACTCATTTTTTTCTCTATGCACACCAAAATGTCACCGATTCATAAGTACCTCTAGTTCCAGTATTTTGTTCTGTATTCAGCAAAAGGTATTACAATTGTTTTATCCTTTCACTTTTTTTAAATACCAGGAAAGAGAAAGGGACAATCATGTACCCATGCAGCAATGTGGATGCCCCAGGAAGACTAATGAAAGCAATGTGGAAAAAGAAGAATACACCAAAGTGGCATAAACTCTACACTGGTAAGGAAAGAGATGCAAACATACAGAATTTTAGTTATAATCATCATGGCCATAAATCGACCTGCCTCTGGAGGATACTCTCACTGTAATGAATTTCCTCAGTATCTTTTGTTTGACAACAGTCAGAGATAACAAGTGATCAGCAAGAAGAAATATGACACCTGACATTTTAAATGCCCTGTTAGTGTTATTTATTCTGCTAAAAAATACAGTTCTTCATCCATTAAGTGTTGAAAGAGGGAATGAAAGAGCATCTTTCTCTGTAAACTCATGACAAAGTGTGCGATCCTGGGCATCCCTCATATGAAGAGGGAGTATTTGGCTTCATATGAAGAAGCTGATTGCAGTTCATCATGGTACTGGGAAGAAACCTAGCAGAGTTGCACCTCATGATAGCAGCAGGCACAGCTTTCACAGAACAGCATTTTGGACCACCGGTAACTGTGGTCTTTGGAGACTGGAGGTAGGGTACAGTCAGAGTATGTAACTACATAGCTAGTTCATTCACAGGAAAACCTATGTTGCCAGAACTAAGGAGACTCCCATGGCAGTTGGAATGCAACTGGTGTCATTTGGGATGGTCACCACCGATATATCTAATGACATTTCACAGTCGTTAAAAGAGAAACCTGTGACTTGCAGCAATGATGAAAATTTGTGGGGCGTATGATGGTGAGAGAGCACTTAACGTGGTGGCTGATGGCCATGTCCTTGGCGATGTGAGCTGAACTGACATCTGGCAGAGTTAATGACAGAGGGCAGCTGTTGGAAAGACATCTGTAACAAGCTCCCACTGCTGGAAGAAGCGAGCCAGGCACTGGCACACCTCTTGCACCTGGGGACTGTGGGATATGTTTGCAGTTGGTGGCAAAGAGGAGAGAAAAGAGACTAGCATGGAAAGTGGAGGAGGTTAAAGTGGAACAGAGATTTGAATTTGGGTGTGGCAAACAAAAATGATACAAAGGAAGGGAGAAACATGTGAGCCCTAGAGGAAGAAAAGTTAGAAACACACCAGTAGTTTCAAAGAAAAAAGTGGTAGCTGCAGGGAAGGAGGGGAAGGTCACCAAGTACAGAACACGATTCTGTAGTGGTGCGGAGAATGGGCAGTAGAAAATAGCCCAGGAATGAAGCAGGGACTAGAGAAGATGGAGAAACTGAAAAGATGCAGGAAAGATGAGAAGGAAAAGAAAAAAGATTCATCTATGTAAGTGTTTTTATTCTAAATAAAAGCAGAGACAGTAGAATAAATTAAAAAAAAGTGAAGTCAACTGAAGGAAACTAGAATAAAGGGAAGACAGAGGGAAGGAGAATGGAATAAGGAAATGAAAAAATAGAAACATGAATAAGTAGAAAAAAATTGAAAACTTGGTAACTTTTATTTAGATAATGTGTGCTTCATACAATTAGTTTCTCCATTTCCCACAGTCTTAAGAAAAAGATACAATGATGTATGTAGGAAATAGTGCTTCATTACATTAGTTTGTCTTGCATCTCAGGAAAAGGGGTATCTCTTCTGAAAAAAATTCCATGAAAACAATAGGTGTAGTTTTTTTTTTTTATTCCAGAAATAAATACAGAGATTGTAATACATGTAATACTGTTCTGTCCTCTCTCCCCTTTCTCTCTCTCTTTTTCTCAGTTTTGAGTCTGTGCCTCAGACATTTCAATTTTGACATCTTTCATTCCACCCCCATGTATCAAATTTTAAGTCAGGTTAACTCCTGGATTTCAATGAAATATTTTATAAAATGTCATAGTTTTAGGCTTTTGTGGAATTGGCTCTCTTAATTAGTACCTTGACACTGCACTTAGTGGAACTGGCATAAATCTGCATTATTCCATTGCATTTCTCAGCAGTCCAAATGCATTGCACAGTCAAGACAAAACACACTTTATCAAAAAGGATGTGAGGCAGAGAGCTTAAACTTCTTATCCAGACCCAAAAAGCTTGTGAGTGTCAAAGCAGGACCACAACTGTATGAAATACAAATATAAAAGGAGGAAATGTTCACGTGAGTTTGGCTGAAAACAAACATTATTTTGTACAGATACACAGTCTTTATAAGGTATGGTGTCAGTATCCGAGATTAAAAAAGTAGCATTTTGAATTACCTACTAGATTGAACATGCTCTTAATCTATACTTTTTAACCAGCTTTATTATAAATACACTCATATTAAAATAGTATATCTTTATTTTCTTGTTCCATGTATGCATTCAATACCACTTTTCATACTGTAGTCAGTTTACTCTTTTCCCTGCTAAATCAATCGATTTCTATAGGGAGAGACAGTTCTTTGCTATAACACAAAATGATAATTTCTTTTTGTATTTGTGAAAATCCAATGGTAAAATTATGAAAAAATGCTGGAGAATTTTTCTGTTTGTGTAGCACTTCCATGTGGAAGATTCAGATTACCATGTGGGGATTCAAATTACCAGTCTGACTTACAAAATTTCAAATTTTTAAGATAGGTTCAATATATCCACTTAAATTTATGGGATAAGCCAACAGCGCCGTTCTGACCTGCCTAGTCTTGGCTGTTTGTACCTTATGAATCTACAGGGCCTACTTATAAAAGTTGTGTTTGACTACCTGAACCTATAGAGGTTAGAAGTCATCGGGACACTTTGGATGCAACAGAGTAAGGAGGGAACATACATGTACTTATTTTTCTAAAACTGAAGTATCTTGGACGTGCATAACATCTTTTATTAGAATGAACACAAACTGCTATTCCACCTCTTTCATACTCACATCACTACACTACAGTGTCTACTTTACAAGCTGTGAAAATGAGACTAAAAAGCACACTCAGTACTAGACATAAGACCAAGAACGCAACCCAAAATCCTGTCTGCTGTTGTGATTCATTTCATCATTCAAGCACAGGGGGATGGAGCACTTACAGAAAGGCAAATACCTTTTATACTGAGGCTTTCTGAATCATAAATGGCAAGATGAAGTTATCCTGGCTAACTAGGTAGTGATTTATTCATGGATGTGGAAGCTGGAGATAATTTTAAGAGATCCTTTCATGAAGACAGGTAAATGGATAATGTATGTGATACAAAAAAGGTTAATGAAGCTGAAGTTTGCAGTTTGGTCACAAAAATTGAAGGATGAAGTCTTACAAGCCAGACCTAGATTCTAAAAATGGTGTTTAGGCATCTATCTCCCATTCAAATGAATAAGAGGATTCAGACCTAAGTTTAGAAATAATTAGGGCATAAAGAGAGATAGTTGTCTATCTAGGACAGTGGGGAGCACTGAACATAGCCTAAAATACAAAGATCCGTTAGGAAAAATCTCTGACTGTTTTGGGTTTTTGCTGCATAGACTGCTTTTTCTTGGGTAGTGTTACGCTGAAGTGAAATGCAAGCCTCTGTGTATGCTTCTCACAGAAGCACTGATGTGAGGGATGGGATGAAAGTGGGATTTCACAAAGTTTTTTCAGGCATGAGGTGAGCAAAAGGTGGAGTGAAGAGCATACTGAAAGGCGAATAGGAGATAATAAATGGAGAAAGGAGGCAAAAAATTGTCTTTGAGGGATGAAATGCTGCAGAGGATTAGTCTGCAAATAAATATTTTGTGTAGGGTTACAGGTTTATGCATTAACTGGGAGAGTAAGAATCTGTGTATTTAGCTTCATGCACAACTTTCCAAGAGGTTCAAGAGCTGCAGTGATAACCAATGATCTAAATCCACTTCTAGGCTGAAAAGAGTCCAAATTACAACTAGACTATCACAACTGACCTACTTGGTACACTTGACAGTAGTCTCAGTGGAGAGACTAAGGAGCAGATGGGAGTACAGTCTGATACATCACTCTGTGGACAGTCTTTTCAGAACAAAATCATATGTTTTGGAGAGTACAAGTTGTATTCACTGCCTACTTCAGACCCCGGGATGTTGCAGACTAGCAAATTTCACCATTCCCTGTACAGAAATCTATCTTTACTGATTGGGTTTGGCTAAAATTCCAGAAGGCTCGATAGCAGTGTTTCTTTAAGAGCTCCTCCTTCTCTCTGTACTTC